AGGTTGGTGGGGTGGTACGTGAGGACGAGGGGGATTCTTTTTTGGTTGTTATTGCGGGGATGGGGTGTGAGGGATGAGTACAATCTAGAGTTGTTGAGATAAAGGGTGGTATTGCTAGGGTTTGGACAGAGACAGCTCGGGAGTCGGAAGGGATTGCTAGGATGCAGCGAGGGGTTACTAGGATACAGGGAGATTGTACCAGTCCAGGGCGGGGTTGCTGGGATAGCAGTGGTGGTTGCTAGGGTTTGGGGAGAGAGAGTTTGGGCACTGGGAGGGTTTCTCAGCTGTGTTTTTTTTAATTCCTTCATGGGATGAGGGTGTCACTGGTTAGGCAGCATTTATTGCCTATTCCTAATTACCCAGAGGGCAATTGAGAGTCAATCACATTGCTGTGGGTCTGGAATCACATGTAGGCCAGAATAGGTAAGGATGGCAGTTTCCTTCACTAAAGGACATTAGTGAACCAGATGGGTTTTTCCAACAATCGGCAATGGATTTATGATCCAGATATTTTATTGAATTCAAATTCCACCATCTGTTGCGGCAGGATTTAAACCGGGCTGCCCAGAACGTTATCTGGGTCTCTGGATTAACAGTCCAGCGATAATACCACTAGGCCATCACCTCCCCTGCCTGCTCGAGATATTTGATAGACACATGGAGGATTGTGTTCGGGTTTCAGCAGTGCACATCAGGAGAGGGTGCCCAGGCCTGGATTGCAGCCACAACTTCATCAGAATGATCCCGGGGCTAAGGGAGTTAAACTGAAGGGGAGCAGACTCGTTTTCCTAGGAGTGGGGAAGATCAGCAGGCAATCTAACTGATGTAGATGAGGGGAATAGTGAAGAGTGTACCTGACAATTTGTGTTTTTCTGTCTCTCTCTGTTTCTCTCTCTCTATCTGCGTCTCCATCTCTCTCTCTGTCTCCCTTTCTCTCTCTCTGTCTCCCTTTCTCTCTCTCTGTGTCTCCATCTCTCTCTGTGTGTCCCTTTCTCTCTCTCTCTGTCTCCCTTTCTCTCTCTGTGTCTCCATCTCTCTCTGTCTCCCTCTCTCGCTCCCTCTCTCTCTTTCTCTCTCTCCCTCTCTCTCCCTCCCTCTCTCTCTCTCCCCCTCCCTCCCTCTCTCTCTCCCTCCCTCTCCGTCTCTCTCGCTCCCTTTCTCTCTCCCTCTCTCTCCCTCCCTCTATCTCTCTCTCTCTCCCTCTCTCTCTCTGTCTCCCCACCCCCCCGTCTCTCTCTCTCTCTCTCTCTTTCTCTCTCCCT